CGTTGGGTTTAGCAACATGGATTTCATCAATGATTTTGTGTGTGTGTGTGTGTGTGTGTGCTAAGGATTGAACCCAGGAGTGCTCTACCACACCCAGGCCCTTCTATTTTTTATTTTGAGACAGGGTTTCTAAGTTTCCCAGGCTGGCTACAAACATGCCTAAATACAATACATGATTGTATTTAGGAGATGGAAACTTTCAAAGGCAATTATGTCAGGAGGGTTCTGCAACATATCACAATATATCATGAGATTTGTGCCCTTATAGAAGATGTACCAGAAAACTCCCTGGTCACTTCTGCCATATGAGGACTTAATGAGAAGTTAACTGCCTATAGATCATGCAGTGAACCCTCATAGGACATGGAATCTGTCAATGCCTTGATCTTGGAATTCTAGTCTCCAGAATTCTGAGGAATACGTTTCTGTTATTTGTTAGGCACACAGTTTGTGGTATTGTGATTGGCTACCCAAAGAAAGACAGGGTCCTAAAGAAGTTTTTTTTTTTGTTTTTGTTTTTTTTTTTTTTTTGCTTTTTTATTTTTTAAAAAGGATATATGCTTGATTGTTGATGTCCAATAAAGGAGGACATCAACAATTAGGAGATGGACTGGAGTTAGGTACATGGGAGCAAGAATGGTTGGAATACGATGACTAAGTGAATAGGTTTCTAAGCTTGGAGCACAGACTACTCATCCATGGTAAAAGACCAAATGGGCACTGATGCAGGTAGGCACATGGATATGTGTGGGGTGTGAGAAGGTGTGAAAGTTTTCTTTGATTATTTTCTCAGGGCAATTAAAACCACACTAATCAGCTGGGCATAAGAATGATAAAGCTCATAGTTTTTGTCAATGTTCTATGAATATAAAAATACATTATTTATTCAAGGCATATAAATTTTTCTATATGCTTCTTTATATCATTCAATTTATGTATTCCTTTTTTAATCTCTTAAAGTTAATTCTGACACAAATGTATTCATATTTATCACAAATTTGTATTTATCAAGTTCTTAAATTTATGTATCTTTGCTGTATATATTCAACAGGCTTGACACCATTGTACTTCTTCAAAAATTGTGCCTTTTATCAGCATATAAAACCTCTTTCTCTCTAAAATGTTTTTTAAGTTCAATGGACTTTTATTTATTTATTAATTTATGTATATGTGATGCTGAGAATAGAACCCAGTGCCTCACAAACTAGCTAGGCAAATTCTTTAACACTGAGCTACAACCCCAGCCCCCTCTCTTTAGGTCTTAACCTTCAACTAGTTGAAATTTCTCGTCTGTTTGCCTGGTATCTTTCTTGTAAAACATATCTCACAATGTTTCTTATAAACATCATAAATTTGGTTTTTATTGTTTGACTCAGTCTGATAGATTCTGCTTTTATACAGAAAAACTCAGTTGTTGGGCAGGCCCAAGATAACTACAATTAGGTTCCTTGCCAAGACTTTCAGCAAGTTATGTTTTTAGTAGGTAGTAAAGATCATAAATACACGGATTCAGCATATGTACTCAAGGTCATAAACATCTACTTGTGAGCATGTACTCATTCATGTAACCTGTTGGCATTTTCCCTTTTGGTTGGCCTGCATATTAATAAAGGCATATGGAAAGACCCAGGAGGCTGGGTTTGCTGCTGCCTTCAAATAATATGTGTTTACTATCCCAACTAACTTTCCAGGATCCCAAATCTGTTTCCCAGGGCCTGAGCCCCTGCTAAGCATCAGTCCTATCATATTTAGCTGAATGGTTTATTACATTACTTATATATGTTACCTTATTTATTTTATGACTTTCCTCTGTTACTCAAAATTTTTTGTGGGGGTATCTGTTTTTAGTTTGTTATTTGTTTATAGTCCTTTCATTAATTGCTTCCTTATATTTTAGGGAAACTTGAATGAAACAAATTCAAATTCCTACAAATCCTCAAGTAGTTCTTTCATCATGACAGGTGATGATAGTTTGGTTGATGGACTATTTAGTTTACTAGTCTGTATTGCTATTAAACAGTATTCTGGCTTCTTAAACTACAAATAAGAAGTCCAATATCATTTTTCTTTTTAGATAACTTACCCCTTTTTTGAAGTTTATTAGTTTTCTTTTTCACCTTAGAGTGTAGGAATTATACTTTGATACATCTAGCTTGCCTTTACTTATTAATCTAGACTGAAAATGTAATGAGTTCTGTAGATCTACAGATTCAGGCCTTTCAAAAAATGTCAAACTAATAAGAAAGTTTCCATTATTTTGTTATTCATTTGTTTTTTCACTTCTACCAATTCTCTTTTCTCTTTCTGGAAATTCGTGTATCTGTACATTAGATCTCATAGATCTATCCTTTAAGTCTTTTATCTTTTTTTTCTTCTTGATTTCCATCCTTTTTTCTCTCTGCCCTTCAGCAATTATAGTTCCTCAGATACACATTCTATTTGTTTCTCTGACAACTGGGTCTTCCTAGGGTTGGTTGGTTTTGTTTCATTTTGTTAGCCAGTTCACTGAGGTTCAAGTCTGGTTAATGGAATATTTTAAGTAGAAGCAGTTCCACAGTCAGGGGAAGACAAAGAGATCTCTGCTTCTATCAGCCATTGAACAGGAGCATGAACCAGCCAGTTTTCTACAAAAGCACCTGGATAAATCCCTCTTGCTCTACAGTTTTCTTATAATCTCTCATACTCAGCACAGGAATAGTTAGCCTACATGTCCAGCTTCTTCTTGGTGTTGTGGGAGCCAAAGAATCCCAATAGATTTGTACAAATCTCCTAGAATTTCCACAGATCTGAGGTTCAGATGTTTTTCAAGAAACATTACATTTAATTTCTCACATCTTGGCTCTCATGTTGTTCACATTTATATCCTTCCCAGAGGGATGGAGACCCACACTAGGTTTCTAAATTCATGCTCTAATTCCAAGGTTTATCTCTATAAGACCCACTTCCCTGATTTAGTTGAAGCTAATAACTATGATCAGGCAGTGGAGAAGCTCATTCAAGTAGGCATTCCTTAAGATCTCTGAAAACTTCCACATCTATCTTTAACAGAGATGTTATTGACCTTATGAAATGGGAGACCCATTCACTTTCATTTATATGAAAAAGTCCTGATTTTCTCCAAACTTGGCAAGAAGAACACATTATTAATGCACCTGGAGGCAAAAGGCCATGATTATTGTTCTTAATCCATTGGTCGTTTGAAATCCTAGGTTTCACTTCTCTCTCAAAAAAAGTTTTAAAATGCTCAAAGTCCAGTTACAACTCTCATATCCTCTGATATAAAATAATTTAGTCTTAAAGCACATTATTTAAAAAAAATGAAAATACAAGTCAAACAACATCAACAGCTAATATTTGGTGTTTGTATATGCCAGAAATGATGAAAAGTTAACTATATAGATTAGCCATATTATTTTTAGCAGTAATGACTAATATACTATGGTCGAAGGTAGAATAGTAGAAGAGCCCAACTCCACTGTTTGTTCTTACTGGTCAATGTGCATTTAGGACTTTATCAATTATAACTGTTTTGCTACATTGAAATCTTCATCTTACATATGAGAAGACTGAAGGTGAGAGGTTAAATTACTTGCCATACAACCTAGTGAATTACAAAAAGGTTGTGAAGTCAGTTTGTTTATTTATTTATTTATCTAATTAGTTACACATCACAGCAGAATGGATTTTGATTCATAGTACACAGATGGAGCACATTTTTTTCATTTCTCTGGTTGTACACAACGTAAAGTCATACCATTCGTATCTTCATACATGTTTTGTTAGAAACAAAGCTCTAATTGCTAAACGTGAGGGAGGTCCATGCAAAATGATTTTCCAAATGTGGTCAATGAAGTCTTAAGAAATTCAAGTGCTCATTGTGGTGGGACACAGGCAGGCAGACTCTGGGTCATTTACTCCTATTAAACATTAAACTATATAGTTAAAACTTAAAAGTGCTTGCTATGTACCAGGAACTGGTTTAATCATTTTTTGACTATGCTCTTTTTCTTCTTTTTAAAATTTATATATGACAGTGGAATGCATTACAATTCTTATTACACACATATAGAGCACAATTTTTCATGTCTTTGGTTGCATACAAATTATATTCTGGTTTAAGCATTTTAAGTACACTAAATAATTTAACCCTAAGAGGCCTGTGTTGCAGCCAAGGTTCATCAATTATAACTGATTTACTCAGATTAGAATCCAGGGAGTTCTTTGCTTTTAATGAACTTTACCAAAGCTTCCTTGCCTAGTAAAATGTTTTAATACTACTAATCAGATCCAGGGCTGAAGAGACAGAGAGAGAGCTTAAGGAAGCAAAAACATTTTCATAATATATCACACTCAACTACCTACTAAAAGAGCGTGTGCAGGCTGGGGCTGGGGCTCAGCAGTAGCGCACTTTCCTGGCATGTGTGAGACACTGGGTTCGATTCTCAGTACCACATATAAATATATAAAATAAAATATATAAAATAAAGGTCTATCAACAATTTAAAAAAATTTAAAAATAAAAAAGAGCATGCACTTCCAAGTCTTTCTGCAGTCCCAGGACACCGAGGAGGGGCTCCTTTCCACGGGTTCATCTCAGCCCCACTTTGCCTCCAACCTCAAGATTAGGCAGGACAGGGCTCCAAGGGCACGACAGTGGGCGCAACCACCTTTCGCCAACCAGAGCGATCCTACAGCAAGTATTTCCTAGGGTTTAGGCTAAGGGGTTACGCATTTGTAGTCTGTGAATATCCCAGGACTATTAGAAGCCAGTGACCCCATTTCCCGGACACCTCAGCCATGCCCCACTTCCCGGGACCTTCAGCATCTGGAGGCTCCATCCAAGGCTCAGAAGCGCCAGAGGATACCGTCCTTTCGCGCGGGAATAAGAACTGCTAGGGGTTGAGCTACGCTACTGCTCGATCTTTCTGGCCAATCAGGAGTCACGTCTTCCAGAGCGCTCCTCTCCCACCCCGCCCCTCTCGTATCCTTGGAAACGCGGCTGAGTCAACGCCTGGGAAGACACCGGACTTCCGTTTCGATCCAGCCGGGCTGCGCCATTGTTTGCGTGGGCCTAGGGTTTTGGACCCTCCGGGTGTTCCTTCAGAGGCTCCGTAAGTGGCGCCGACTCTCGAGAGGGCCGAGCCAGATGTGGACCAGGGCTGGAAGTGCTGTGGCTGAAGGAAGAGTGGCAGAAAAGTAGAGTTGGGGCGAAAAGCGACTCCGACTTAGAAACATTGGCGACACCCCGGTATAGGTGGGTTACTCCTAGCTCCTCTCGCCTATTAAGGATTAAGGAGGGAAGAGGGCAAAAGGCAGCTTGGCCCGGTGGTCGGGTGCTGGGTTGGGAGGTGTTGGGGTGGACTCGGGCCGGGGACCTGGATGCACATCAGAGGCCTGCGGGTCTTGCTGCAGGAGCCGAGGCTTCGCGGATCTGTAGCCCTGAGATCCCGCTCCTTGAGTAACATTGGTGCAAGTGAAGGGATGCTACCCAGCTCGGCCCGTGGCGCTTGGTGGAACTCTGATGTATCATCTTGGGACCTGCGTGAATAGTTTTTTTCTCTTGAGAGATAGGGGGTTCTTAACTAATTGCCTATCTTTTTTCCCAGAGACTTACCCGTGATCAGCAAGGAAGAACCTGAGTGGTAAAGGCTCATGCCCCCACTTTACAGGTGAGGAAACAAAGGCCTTGGAAAGTGTAGAACTTGGATCTTTTTATAAAGTTCTAGAAATGGTTGATAGCAGAGTTGAGATTATAATCATATTCTGGAAGGTCTAGATCTTGATCCTTCTCCAAAATTCCGGTTTCCTTTGTGATAGATAGAATCTAGTATTTTGTTGTAATAAGTAAGAGAAGGCAATGGAATTATTTTTTCCTTAAGTTAATTTAACAAAATATGAGCAATACTCTAAAAACAGAAAGAAGACTTTTACATGTGCTGCTATTATTTACTTTATGATCTTATATTAATAATTTATATAAATAAACCATATAACAATACATGTAATTAATAACTAATTTAATAATGTTTAAACAGGTTAGTGAGTACATATGCATATTAAGTATTAGGTAAAAGGCTATAAGTAAACACATCTAAATGTCAATAATGGCTGCTTATGGTTCATGTTGCACAAGAATAAATAACACATTTAATATGAATACTCCTCTATACTATGGCTTCATTTTGTACATTTATACTCCCCTGCAATAAGTCTGGTTACCTAATTTGTCCCCTCTAATTCTACCTGAGACTAAATGATGATTTTCCTGTAAATCTGAGCTGCTGTTGCTGTGTTTTAAGTGCCACTCATTCTAGTACAATTTAATGTGGATAACTCCATATATTATTAATTTCTCCCTGGAGAGACCAAACTGTGAAATCAAATTTTGTTTTTCATGTCTAGAGTTTTATCCCTTAGTGTCTCTAGACGCTTAGAAGCATCAAAGTGCCAATTTTTATAGCTCTGCTTTCTAATCCTTGAAGGGGAACAGGAATGTTTCTGGGCTTTTTTGGACCTCTTTGTAGGAGATTTGGGAGTCATATTTACTTACTGTGCGGGGAATTTAGTGCCATGCTCAGTTTTTCATTCCTTCGTTCCTCACCCACCTCCAGCTTAGTTGTCTCAACATTCCACCCATTCCCAGAAGAGAAGCACAAAGGAGAAACAGTTGTATGCTGTTTTCCTCAAAATTTGATCTCAGGTAAATAGGATTGTCTTTTCTTACTTATAAAATGCCCTGATTCTTCATGGGTAATGGAGATAGTAGAAGTAGCAGTGAGGACACATGGATCAGATTGCTTAGAACATGTTCCTCACTTGCAGAAAGGCTTCCACGCCTCCTATGCAGCATGCCCATGCCTCCTACCCAGGGATTTTTACCAACATTAACTCATTCCTTCATTCAGCCATTCAAGTTCAGGCTACATATCATTTGTATTGTTCTTAGTGTTCTGAGATAAATATATTAGAATGTCTTTGCACTGAGTAATTTAAACCAGGAAATTAATAATATATGGAGTTATCCACATTAAATTGTACCAGAATGAGTCTCACTTAAAGGACAGCAACAGCAGCTCAGATTTACAGGAAAATCATCATTTAGTCTCAGGTAGAATTAGAGGGGACAAATTAGGTAACCAGACTTATTGCAGGGGAGTATAAATGTACAAAATGAAGCCATAGTATAGAGGAGTATTCATATTAAATGTGTTATTTATTCTTGTGCAACATGAACCATAAGCAGCCATTATTGACATTTAGATGTGTTTACTTATAGCCTTTTACCTAATACTTAATATGCATACATACTCGCTAAGCTATTTAAACATTATTATGTATGCATACATATATACATACACATATATATAAATACTAAACATAGGTTTATCTAAGGTACATGTATACAGAAGATGAGTATTTATAAAAATTTTTATTAAAAATTTTTCAGGAAGGCAGGGAATATTCCCAGTGCATAGAACTGGACCTTGCATGTAGTAAGCATTCAATAAATATTTGCTAAATATGAGTGACTATTATTTGTATATTTTTTTCATTTAACATACAATGAGCATTTTTCTAAGCATTTCTTAGTAGTATGAGTTTTAATGATTATATAATATTTAATTCAAGGTATGTACCATTCTTGATTTAAATATTCTTTTATTAGGGATAGGTATGTCTTATTTTGCTATTATAAACCACTTCTAATTAATATTCTTATACAAAATTTATTAGACACAAGTCTTTTTTACTTTCTTAAGATATACTTTGAGAAATAGGAAAACAGTCAACAGATATAAATATGTTTTAGGCTTTTGAAAACCTAAAGTTATTTTTAGAAGTATTGCATGAACTTAAAATTGCATGACAATTTGATCCTAACTTGTTCAACTTTTATCAGCATTAGATATTATTTTTAAAACTTTTCTTTCATTTGCATCCTCTTTAATCTTCAGTAAGGTTTACTATTTTTTCACTTATATATTAATATATGTCAATAGACCCTTCATCAAAAAAAATTGCATTTTTTTTGATGAAGGGTCTATTGATATATATTACCTTTTTCCCTACTAACCTTTTTGTTTCCATTTGATAGTAGGTAGTCTTGTATATAAAAAAAAATAATAATAATTTGTTACATATTGTAAATATTCCTCTTACTTTACCATTTGCCCTTTACTTTCAAGGGCTTCTTTGTTTAAATGAGCTTTGAATTTGTATAAAGCAAAATATCATCTTTATATTTTTAAGCATTGAAATATATTTTTATTTCCAAATTTAATATATACTTTATTTCCAAACTAATATATAATTACTTTTATTTCCTCAATTATTTTTTATACTTTTAAGTATTTTAAAAGTTTAACTCCTGAGTCTATCAGAAATATATTTGAATGTGAGAAATGACAGGAGAACTTAAACATTTTTTTTTATTCCTACTTGGTTATTTAATTCTACTGGTAATATTTGCTTTCTCTACTGAATGTGGTTCTCCCTTTTCATATACAAAATTAGTAATTCTTTTAATATTTTAGTTGTAGATGGACACAATACCTTTATCTTGTTTATTTAACTTTTTTTTTTAATTTTTTTTTTTTCAATATGATGCTGGGATTCAACCCAGTACCTCATGCATGCTAGGCAGGTGCTCTACCACTGAGCCACAACCCCAACCCCCCCGAATCAGTAATTCTTGACACACATGCAAATCACTTTGGGGCTGTCCTGTTTTGTGGATCCATTTCCCAATATATTTACTGGTATCAGAGTGTTTTTATTGTTATTCCATTATATGTAGTTAACTTAATGGGCAACTAAGACGAATAAGTTTTTTTATTTAATAAGGATAAAGAAAGGGGCTGGGGTTATGGCTCAGCAGTAGAGCGCTTGCCTCGCATGTGCAAGGCCTTGGGGTTGATCCTCAGCACCACATAAAAATAAATAAATAAAATAAAGTTTAAAAAAAAGGATAAAGAAAGGAAAGAAAGAAATCATATGTTAGAAATATTCCTCAGAATGACATTATGGTGATTTCCATTTTGGGAAAAAATATTAAAGTTAGGTATAATTAGTTTTAAATACTGAATATATTAACCTTTCAGTATGTTTTATTAGTATAGAATATTGGTCAAAATATAGCTAGTGCTATCTTAGCTTGCTGTCTATGCTTGTTTCATGTCTACTGTTTCTTAGTTTTATGAACTAGATTTAATTACTTGACCAGTTTCTCATCTTTAAAGTGGGGAAATAAAACTTACTGTGTAGGAGTATGATGGTATATAAGGGCACACACACAAAAAAAATTAGCACAGTGTTTGACGTATAGAAAGAACTCACTAAGAGTCAGTTGTTATTTTATTAGTTATTACTTAAAATATAATTCATATCTAATACAACTCTTTTTAGTCACCAAGCCATAAATATGGAGGAAGAGAATCTAGCTTCATTTTTCCTTCCAAGTGTCTATTTAGTTGTCCAAACATCATTAATTAAATAAGCCATTTTTCCCCCACAAATTTAATGTCACATCTTCATGTTTAAAATTCCCTGTTGAACCTGGGACCATTTGCAGGTTTCTATTTTTTTTTATATTGTTTTCTTTATTCCTGTGTCAAACCCATGCTATTATAGAGGCCTTATTATAGTTTAAATATGCTATTAAATTAGTCTCCCCTTATTATTCCTCTTTCAGAATTTCCTTTTTTTTTTTCCCCCCACAAAAGCACTTGAAAACCACTGTGTTAGATCTTTTTACCCCCTCATCAAAATCTTGTTAGTATCTTGATTGGATCCTATAAAATAGAGGTAAATTTAGTGAGAAAAAATTATATATATATATTTTTTTTTACATAAGATTGAATGGGATCTTCATACTCTTTCAACCCTTTTTTAATCCTTCCAGATTCTAGAACTATCTTTATATAGGCTCTAAGTATTTTTGTCAAACTTATTTTGAGGAATTTATATTTATATTTGTATTGTTATTATAAATATTACATAGAATAATTTGTTATAATGTCTTTGCTATTTTTCTGTATTATTTGAATTTTATATATGATATATAAAATTTAAATTTATTGTAATGTATTACATATATGTAGAAGAGTATATGAAAACACATATGTACAATTTAAAATATAAGATAACATCTGCACTTATCATCTAAACCAACAAATACTTTTAAAAGCTTCCTGATAACCCCACATTTTCATTCCCACCAACTTGAGGGGGTATAACCACTTTATTAGAAGTTGTATTTAGTATTTTTAAGTCTTTCCCCTATATTTTAAGCTGTGCATATTTGCATCTCTTAGAAATTATTTAGTTTTGCATATTTTTGTATATTGTACAATGTAATGACTAAATATATTCTCCTGTGAATGATTTCTTTAGCATAATGTTTTATTTTTATACTGTATCTGTGTTGTTTTACATAACTATAGTTCCTTTTCACTACTGTGTACTATTTCATAGTATGAACAACTTATTTATCTATCCTATTGTTGTTGAACCATTTGGATTGTTTCCAGCCTTTTGCTGTTATAGTAACTACTTTACTCTAATTGTTCTTGTACATATCTTCTGGTATACATAATGTAAGCTTCCATAGAGTACAACTGTATTAGTGGAATTTTGAGGACATTAATTTGTTTTATAACTTCCAGTTGTTTTCAGCTGATTTTATGATAGTCTTCAGATATGCAGCCTACCCTCTACAGAAAATCTATGTGCTTTCACATCAGTGGTGTAAAGATCATGGATCTGCAATATCTTTTTCAGGTTTACAGTTTTAATGGGAATGCCTTTAATATTTTGTTTTGGGTTTTGAGATATGATTAGGAAGTATTCTTTCAGCAGTCATTGAAATACTTATATGACTTTCTTATTTGACATTATTAAGAAGGTTTAAACTTAATAACTTTTCATTTTAACTCTTCCTTTATATTCTGGTATAAAGTATCAATTTATTATGCTATAATATGCCTTAGTGTTGTAGGAAATTAAATTTACCAAAGATGACCACAATTATACTTTATCTTGTCCTTAATGTTCTTCTTGAAATGTGACTGATATTCTTCCCCACCAAAAGGCAGGGCCTATGTCCCTTCCTCTCAGATCTGTCAGAAGCTTATGATTGGTTCAAACCATGGAGTTCAGTAGAAATGATGCAGTGTGAATTATGAGACTAAGTCATAAAAATAATGAACCTTTTCCTTGCTTTTCTCATGGGAAAATTGCTACCACGTTGAGAGATAATCCAGGCCACATAAAAGGACCAAATGGAGAGAAACTGAGACCCCCACATCAACAATCAGTAACAATTTGCCTGCCATGTGAGGGAACCATTGTGAAAGTGAATCCTCCCTCCCAGTCGAGATACTTGATGACTATTGATCTAGACAATAATTCACAACAATTTCATAAGAGATTTGAGCCAAAACTGCCTACCCACTCCTAAATTTCTGGCCTAGAGAAAATGTTAGAGATAATAAATAATTATTCTTTTAAGGCTTTAAGTGTTGGAATTGTTATACAGCAGTATGATAACTTATAATCTACAAGTGTTGCTGGATTTTATTTGCTTTATATATTATTTGATTTACCTATTGTAATGTTAATATTTTCCCCTAGAGAACTAGTTCTTGGATTCATTTAACAATGGCAAAAGTTTTCAAATTCCCATATTTTCTTGTGATTACTTTATTGCCTTTCCTTAACAGTTAAGTAGTGTTTTCATTACATATGGTATAATACTGGAATCCTGTTAATTTTTTTCTGCATATAGTTAATCAGTTTTTGATCACCATCTAGTGAAGAATCCATACTTTCCTCTTTGATTTATAATGCTACCTTCATTGTTAACATGTTTTCATAAAGAAGCATATTGGTTAGTGAGAGGCCTCTATTCTGTTATACTAATTGATTGTTCTCTTCTAATTTTGCTACTAGCCTTTGGTGGTATGTTATTATCTAGTAAGGCAAGTCTTCCCACTTGGTTTACTTCTCCTTATGGACTTATTTTCCTTCCCTATAAATTTCAAGGAAAAAAAAAGTATATTGTGTTTCTCAAAAAAAAAAAATCCAACTGCAAATATTCTTTAATTGTATTGCATTTAAATCATCTCATCCAAGAGCATGGAAGCATGCTTCTCCTTTTATTCAGATAATCTTCCTTCTTCTCTTTGGAACTTGAAAGGATAGAATTTTTTATATTCTTGGTTCAACTGGTCTGTTTGTTGCTGTTGTATATGAAATTTTACTTTCTAGTAGTTGATTGCTGATACAGTATGCTATTGTCTTATTGTAACTAGTTAATTTTGCTGAATATTTAGTTTGTTTTATGTGCATATTCATGGGTTTTCAAGATACATGTCTCTAAGTATGAAAATAATGATACTACATTTGAACTACAATTGAAATATCTCCATTAAGCCTATAGTTCTTACTATACACCGTTAACATTTTAGAGAGTTTAGAAATTTTTTTAGTTTGCTAAAAGCTTTTCTTAATACCATGTATAGGTGTTCAATTTAACGGAATTTATATTACATGATGTTCCTGAATTAGCTGAGATAATCATGATTGTCTTCTATAGTTATTAATACAGGAAATTATGTTGCTAAATTTTTCTTTTGTTGAACTCTCCTTGCATACCTGGAATAAACTGCACTTGATCATGATGTATTATTGATACATTACTTAATTCAATTAGCTAATATTTTATGTAGGAATTTTGTATATTTACAGATCTTCATTTCTAAAAACAGGAGATTAGACATTTAATTTTCTGAACTAGCTGAACACTCCTGGAAAATTCTGGTATTTGAATCACATATACAGCTAATAGAAGAATTATAAGATATTTGAGTAAATTCTTCAATTTTAAAGATAGAAATCAAGATGAATTTGGGGCAAACAGGGATTGAGTCTGAGGAAACATTATGTAGACAAGAGACTATAAACTCTAATTAATATTTCTAAAGGAATTAAAGAAGACATTATATCCACGAAACTCTTAGAAATATCTCTTAGAAAGATATTTAAAGCATCAATAAAGTGAGAAAGAATGCCAAGAAAAACAACCATGAGTATGAACATAATCTCACTGAAGTTAAAATATAAAAATAAAAAATAAAAATTCAGTGGAAAAGTTGAAGGTAAAATTGGGAAACTTTTCCATATGATAGAATAAACAGACAGAAACAAATTATATAAGGGAAAATGGACAAAGCAAATATAGACTATCCAGGAGAATGATATATGACTAATAGGGGACTCAGTTTAAGTGCAGTCTTCTAGATGAAAGAAATCAAGAAAGGAATTTTGCAGAGAAACATAAGAACATTTCATAGAGTTGATGAGCAGTCTCTAGATTGTAATGCTCACTGAATAATCAACAAAAAAGTCCCAAACCAAGGAATCAACAAAAGAAGATCCTAAAATATTTTTATAGAGGAAACAAAATATTACCTACAGATTCATTAGAATTTAAAAAAAATCAGTCTCAGAAGCAATGCTTGTAATAATGAAGCAATTCTGAGAAAAAAAATTTAGTCTACATTTCTGCACTCAGTCAGTTATGAGGGGTTAATGATGATTTCAAGTGTACTGTGATTCAAATGATCTGGGAATTTTTCCTAGTAATCCTGCTTGGAGATTTTCTTAAATGATGTATATTGAGGAATACCTTGTCTGCTTCTCACCTTTGCCTTTTTCACTGGCAGTGAGCTTAATATTCATAGATTAGTTTGGATTCATTTTGATGTGTTCCTCCAAAATGACAGAGTAAAATAAAGAATTATGGAATATTGAAAATTGAGCTTTAAAGAGTAGCCAGTCCAGATTAGAGCAAGAAGATAATATTTCCAAAATAAAACGGTTGGGTAGGCTGAGACACTTGATAAAATAAATTATATAGAGCTTTTCAAAATAAGAATATGAGGATAGCAAATTTCTTAGAACAAAACAAATCATCCTTTCAAACAAACTTTATAATCATAGTCAAAATTATATAAGCACTGCATTGATTTAACTGAAAATTAGTGAAAATAGTATGAAAATGATGAATAGAACTCTAGTATATAATTCATCATCTCATAGGAAGAAGTAAATAATATCTAAAATGATCACCCATGAAGCAATAATATAAGCAATATTGAGTAATATTATTGCACTTGGCAAATTATTCTTGTCTGAAGTGTACATGTGTGGGTCCCTTCTGGGCTGCCTTCTAGCTCTGTGATCATTGGCATTAATCTGTTTCAACCATTATTTACTATTTTTGTAGTACAGAGATAATAATAGTATCTACCTCACAGGATTGCTATGAGGACTAACTAAAATATAAGTTGAAGTCATTATTAGCTCATTGGTTGACAGACAAGTAAGTATTTCTTTGATAGTGATAATATTTGATATTTGGATACATTTTTAAGCCATTTGGCTACTTGTTATATCTCCCCTTACCTTTCTTGTTTTTCTTCTTTTTTTGAAGTTCTTTCTTTTTCTATGTGGTTTGCCACTTATATTACCTACTAAATATTTTTTTCTTTGTTCATCCTCTCACTTAGATTTCTTCTGCCCCAAAAGCCTCATCTTTAACCAGATGGCAGTAACATTTGAAGATGTAACAATTATTTTTACTTGGGAAGAGTGGAAATTCCTGGATTCTTCTCAAAAAAATCTCTACTGGGAGGTTATGTGGGAGAACTACACAAATGTCATGTCATTAGGTAAAGTTATCCCAGCTCACAAGGAATTTAGAGCTTTCTAGAACCAATTTTGTTGAGTATATTTCAGTTCTTTGTCTGAGTTCTTGTGTTGGTGTGATAGAAGAAATATTCACAAAATATGTTTTAAGCCAGATGACAAATACAGTTTGAGTATCCCTCATGCAAAATGCTTGGGACCAAAAATGTTTTTTAGATTTTGGAATTTTTTGGATTTTGGAATATTTGTATGATCTTTATTGTTTGAGCAATCCTAATCCAAAAATGTTCCAAAATCTGAAATTTTTTGAGCATTATGTCAGCACTGGATTTTGGAGTATTTCAGATTTTGCATGTTTGGATTAGGGATGCTCAACCTGTAAAATATAAGGCAAAATATCTTCTAAGACATCTGGGTTATGCAATGACCTAGATATTTGTGATTATTATTTTTAATTATTTTCTATATTATTCTTAGAGCACAAATCTCCATACATAGTAAGTTTTGTTTGTTCCTAAAGTTGTTTTTCGTCATACCGTTTGTACAAATTGCCTTTTGTTATATAACAAACTACCCCAAACTTAGTGGCTTAAGATAAAATTTATTATTTTTTTCATGATTCCTCAATAGGAATCATGGATGATGTCTCATAGAGGGATTTTCTTGGGACTGGGTGATTTTAAGATAAGGCTGACTGGCCTAATTCATATGTCTGACAGTTGGCTCAAAATCACTAGGGATATTGGAGATACATTGGCTATATGTCCCTTTTTTTCATGTGGTGGTGGTGGTCGCAGAATTTTCAAAAGCAGCAAGAGAGAAGGCAAGCACTCTTCAAATTTCTGCTTTTGACACTTTAGCTGTTATCCCAGTGAGCAGATTATATTACCAAGCCTAGACACAGTGTGGAAGGAGAGCACCCAAAGGCATAAGCAGAGTTAATGCAGCCATTTTTTTTCCACCCAGTCTCCCACACTATTCTATAGCAGAAAAATAGAAACATATTTTACTTCTTATAATAATGTCCCAAGTAAAGTAATATAGTTTAGTCTTCAAAACTATTTCTATGAAGCAGTTGGCCTTATTTTTTATTATAAATAGTACCTGATAAATTGTAAATTGATGCTCAAGGTATGTTTGTAAAATGAATGAATGAGCAAATGAATAAATATGTACATGAATGTACAAAAATAAATAAATCTCTGACCCAAAAGGAGCGGCCAAAGTCATACCCTTCATTCCTACTCCTCTCCACACATCTTCCTACCATTATGAAAGTCTTTGATTTAGATAATTGGAAAGCTTTAAGCACAACCTTCATATCATCACTAAAGTAACTGTTTATTCTTCTAGGAAACTTGAATGAGAGCTACAAGCCACAAGAAGAACGATTCAAATACTTACAATATGAAAATTTTTCCTTCTTGCAGAGCTGGAGAAATGCTAGCACTCAGATATACGAGAATCAAAATTATAATGAAACCATTCAAGGGGTAGATTCCAAAAATGTAAAGCAACAAGATCTTTCCCAGTGTCAAGAGTGGTTAATTCTCTCCACACAAGTACCAGAGTATGGAAACTATGAACTGACCTTTGAAGGTGCAAGCCATAGGAACTTAAAATTCAGAAAGTTAATACCTTGGCAGTCCTTAGAAACCAAAACCACCCAAGACTTTAGTAGAGAAGATTACATGAATGATTCCCATGGTTTTCGAAGGGACGGAAACCATCTTGTCATATCTAGGAAAAATCTTTTTATGGAAAAAGACCAGAAATTCATAGCTCAGCATTCTTATATCTCAGTGGAAGAAGCCCTTCCAGTATATATTGGGGAGATATGCCAGTGTGACCTACTGAGAGACTCTATGGAGGAGAAATACTGTGTCTGTAATAAATGTAAAGAAATTCGTCATTGGAACTCACAATGTGTTCTCCACAAGAGAAATCAACTTGGAGAAAATCTCTATCCATACTCCATTGGCACAGCATGCTTCTCTCAGAGATCAGATTTTTACAGATATCCAAGAATCCACATAAGTAAGAAGCTGTATGGATGTGATGAAGTTGGCAGTAACTTTAGTCTTGGCTCAGGAGTTTACTTTCATCAGAGAGTCTTCACAGGGGGTATACCTTATATATGTAATATATGTGGTAAGAGCTTCAGTCAGATTTCTTGTCTTCATAGTCATCAAAGTGTCCATACAGAAGAGAAACACTATAAATCTGAGTGTAATAAGGACCTCAATACAAATTCACTATTTCACATTCATCAGAGTCTTCACACAGAAGAAAAACCCTTTAAGTGTGATCAGTGTGGTAAGAGTTTTAGTCGGAGTTCAGTACTTCATGTTCATCAGAGAGTCCACACTGGAGAAAAACCATATAAGTGTGATGAATGTGGTAAGGGCTTCAGTCAGAGCTCAAATCTTCGAATTCATCGATTAGTACATACAGGAGAGAAGTCTTTTAAATGTGATGACTGTGGTAAGCGCTTTACTCAACGCTCAAATCTTCAAATTCATCAGAGAGTGCATACAGGAGAGAAGCCTTATAAATGTAGTGACTGTGGGAAAGACTTCAGCCATAGCTCAGATCTTCGCATTCACCAGAGGGTCCACACAGGAGAGAAACCTTATACCTGTCATGACTGTGGGAAGGGCTTTAGCAAGAGTTCAAAACTTCACACTCATCGAAGAATACACACTGGAGAGAAACCTTATAAATGTGAAGAGTGTGGTAAGGGATTCAGTCAGCGTTCACATCTTCTCATTCATCAGAGAGTTCATACAGGAGAAAAACCCTATAAATGTGCTGATTGCGGGAAGGGCTTTAGTCACAGCTCTAATCTTCACATCCACCAGAGGGTCCATACTGGAGAGAAGCCTTATCAATGTGCAAAGTGTGGTAAGGGTTTCAGTCAGAGCTCAGCACTTCGAATTCATCAAAGAGTCCACGTGGGAGAGAAAACTTATAAATGCCATGAGTATTATAAAGGGTTTGATCAGAATTCATATCTTCACAATAATCACAAGAGAGGAACTGTATAAATCTTGTTTATTAATAGCTTCAAGTAAAATTTAATCATTAAACTCAATAAATGCTGCTGGAAAAGAAATCCTATAATTAATACAGAATTCTAAACAAAAATAGTTTCCCCTCCTACCTCAAGAGGCAATTCTTAGGAGAATTACTATTTATTTAAAATTAAATGTATTTTCTTTACTATAAATACAAAACATAATTATTACAAAATATATATTAAAGTTTAAGGAAGGATTTTTTTTTTTGCATCCTGTTGCATTCTAGCCTTTTTTCCAGTGCATTTTAATGTTTATGAAATCAAACAATGTCCAACTTGTATTTTCACTGACTTCAAAATGCTTTTAATTTTTGTTTCAAAACATTTCATTTTGGTTTTAATTGAAACTGGCTCGTCATCTTTGAAAGAGCATCTCTTGACATCCTCGGAAAGTCTTTGGGAAGCCACAAAAAAGATGGAATTTGCAAAAGTTGAAATTCAAACTGGTATTGTTCAAATATGGACAAATAAACTATAGTAGAATTCAATTCTTATGCAACAAAACCAACCTGATAAAAGATGAGAAAACATTGTATGACCCTGTATCTAAGATAATAGATACACTGGAGATGTTATCACTGTCATCCAGAAAACTCAGGAACCATTCTTCTGTTGCTAGGGTACTGCACTTTGAGGTAACCACTTCTCCCCAGGTTTCCACATTCATTCATAGGCTCAGAGACCAAGTAGATTTAGATTCCCTAAGAAAGGTATGGATGAAAGTTAATAGTGAATTCTAGAAACTAAAGATCATCTATTGGTTCAGAAATAGAGATTCAAGCAATAGAATTTAACTTCAGTAGAACAGAATGGTAATATGGAAATATCTGCTAGGAACAGAATTGAACCCTCCAGCTAATTGTGAAACAAGAGAGTTGGCCATTATGTGTCATAGAGTTAGGAATACTCAAATCCTATTTCGGTCAGCTTTTCACTGCTATGACCAAAAGACCTGACAAGAACAAATAGAGGAGGAAAAGTTTATTTGGGGGCTCACAGTTTTCAGCAGTCTTAATGCATTCCTCAGGGTGTGACCATGGTGGAAAGGTGCCAGAAGAAAACAGCTGGACATATAGTACCAGGTAGCAGAGAGAGAGTCCACTCTCCAGGGACAAAATATATACCCTTAAGGCACACCCCCCCAGTGACCCATCTCCAGCCATACTCTACCTGCCTTCAGTTATCTTAGTTAATCCCTATTAGATTAATTCACTGATTGGGTTAAGGCTCTCAACCCAATCATTTCATCTCTAAACTTTCTTGCATTGTGTCACATACACTTTTGGGGGACATCTAATATTTAAACCACAAGTCCTAACTATTGATGCATAGTTATGTTTAGATATTACTTCCTAAGAAAAAATGGACCTGTTTAGGAAAATAAGAAGGAATTGTAATATCAAAGAAAGGAATATCATCCTGAAGACTTAGAAGCCTAAAACCCTGAAAATTGGCTCTTTCAGGTTCCAGAAGAGAATTTCATAAAAATTGGTATCCTCAGTATCATAACGAAAATATCAATAAAGCTAGAGTAGAACTCAGTAAGTAAAGAAGAGAAATAGACAACAACAAGGTCTTCAGAGAAATTTAAAATTCTGTATGAAAGTAAAGGCTATGAGCAGAATGAACATTGTAGAACATCAAGTAATGTAATGAATAAATGAAAAGGATAATGTGATAGAAACAATGAGAAAAGACGTGAAGATCAAGGAATAGAATGTAAGGATTAAAGTTTCTAAGGAAGGTAAAAGAACACTTGGGTGCATCTGTAATCTCAACTGTTCAGGAAGCAGGCAGGAGAATAGTGAGTTTGAGGCCAGGGAAACATTAAAAACAGAATCAGTCACCAAAGATATTAATTTTTCCTGATTTAAAAATATATGTTCACTAGATTTTAGGCAAAAATGTTTTAAAAAACAATCTTAGAAACAGCTTAGAAAAAGAAAACAAAAGTATGTAGAATGAAAAATTCTGGTGATCTACAAAATCAAAAAGGGAACATGAACAAAGATCTTTGCAACAGTAACTCAAAAAAGCAAGGACTAGCACTTTCAGAATTCTGAGATTAAAAACAAAATTTTATCAACAAATCATATATATATGCATATATATATAAACTATAAGCAAGAAACAAAGTGTACCGTATACTTGCCTTTCTTAGAGTTCAAATGTGGAAATCATGGTATAAAAGGATTGGTGATGATTTCTGAAATCAGTTAAACTTGCAGTTATGGCTGAATAGTTAATTTGTTTACAAAACTTAAAATATTAAATAGTTGTGCAGGAAAATATACAAATGCTAAGTATAAAAGCAGAATATATATAAAAGTCTGTAGGGAAGAGTAAGGTTGTCAGATAAGATGCAGGTGACTTAGTAAAGTTTGAATTTCAAATAAGTATATACATTTTAATTATTTTTAAGTATGTCCCAAGTACTTATACTAAAATTTTATTTTTGAAATTCAAATTCACCAGGTTCTTCTGTTTCTGTTTGCTAAATCTGACAACTTTGGGAAGAGATAGCAAAAGAAAGTATGCTACACTTATAATCTTAAATATCAGAAACTCAATAGCATTTTCTTCTTGATATTAACAATTCAAGGGAACATATTTTGGCAAAAACTTAGAAAATGCATCTAATTGAACTAAAACATATACCTTTCATAACAATGGATAAGATAAAAACAAAATATTTAGCCCCTATGTCAAAAGACAATACAAAAGAACTCAAGAAATTGGCATTAAAAAATAAGAGACTGAAACAAGATAAAGGCTCAATTTCTTAAAATAGGTTAAATGCCTTATTAAAAGTCCTTTAAAATATTTTATTTATTTATTGTTTTATGTAGTGCTGAGGATTGAACCAAGTGCCTCCCATGTGCTAGGTAAGCACTCTGCCACTGAGCTACAACCCTAGTCCCTAAAAAGTTTCAAAAATACTGATTGGATTAAAATTTTGATTGTATATTATTTCAAGTGGAAAAGCAAAATGATACTCATTAAATATAAAAGACTGATGGTATTAGGCAAACCAAAAGGGTTGTCTGTTTTTAAAATATTTCAAAATATAATTAACCCATCAAAGTAGGCTAAATATGCAAAATAACTACTTTTCTAAACTCTTGCAAAAAATCAAAAAAATATAATGAATGGGAAATGTCTTTGTAATGCCACTAAATTTTTTAAGGGATCAAATTAAAATGTGGAATAATATTAATAAGATTAATGAAAATTAACAAGGACATAAAAAAATGTCTTAAAATTTTTCTAGAGGGAATGTTCCCAAGTTAATTTATAGATTTGTTCCAAATCTCAAAAGAGAATTTTGGTGAGGTTTTAAATGTAAAATTCTAGCACTTAAAAAAAAAAAAAAAAGAGGCATTGGAGAAAAGAGAAAATAATTATAAGATAAATGAGATTGCCCTAACATATAAAAAGTTGCATGTTGACATTGTAATGGAGAACATGATTATATATTTGAAAAAATTTAGAATCTGAGTCAATAGTTTAGAAATATACTAGTATGTGGATTACATATTATATATAATATACTCAGTAAATATGCACATATACTTCACATATAATGAAGATCTATGAATAGAAGGATTGTTCAGTAAATGGGTGGTACTCAGATAATAACTCTTGGGTAAAAAGCAAAATTAGGCCTTTATCTCGTGATCTAAATCATAAAATACATGTTGGTGAAAGCAGAAGTTTTCAATTCCTGTTCCCTGTACAGGAATTTAACTACATAAGAATTTTAAAACTGGGGGGAAATTATGGAAACCAGACAAAAAAGAAGAAAAATATTTGCCATGATGATAAAAGTATTAATATGAATTAATCAAATGAGTACAAAGCTTAAAAATTTACAAAGAACATGAAACAAGGAAACAACATTATTATTATTATTATTATTATTATTATTATTATTAGTTGTTGATAGACCTTTATTTTATTTATTTATATGTGGTGCTGAGAATCAAACTGAGTGCCTCACACATGCCAGGCAAGTACACTACTGCTGAGACCCAGCCCCGAAACATTACTTTTAATAACAAAAACAATAGATATTTTCAGTAAAAGTATGGAGTGATATATGCTTATATACCACAGATGTTGAAGGTAAATTATTATAGACTTTTGGGGAAAGTTATTTGGCCAACAATGTGCTTTAAGTATGTTACTACTTTTTGCTACATAATTCCATAGCTAGGAATGATACCACTGTTGGGGAACTTCTAATTGTAAAGAATACAGGTCCACTCAAGTTATACAATGCAATAAATAGGGTTGTATTACATCACATAGTAGAATCTCACAGAAAAATTCCAAGGACAAAAACTTCAGCATGGGAACCACGCTAGAAAGCCATTAGACAATGAAGCTACTCTTCCATTATCATTGTTTCTTTTCTCTTTTGGACCTCCTCTCTCTTCTCCCTACAGGTTGACTTATTTATGCACTTTATGCATGACTTCTAATTGCCATTCACTTCTGAATATCATTTTCCCCCATTTCCTTGCCCTCTACTAACCTGTCATGTCCCCCCCCCCACCCACACACACACCCTTGCAGTGTATATTCAAATTTCTGAAAGGTAGAAGATAATTAACTCAGCTTATAATGATTACTTTTGAGACAAGGCTAAGCTATAGGATACTGGTAAACCTTGGGCTTGGCTAGCATTCCATCAGATATCCACTTTGGTCTCTTCAGAAATGGCCAGGGATGATGGAAAGCATATAACATCATTGTTAAGGGATGATGTACAAATATATTTCTTTAGAAAGTAGTGGATTTGAGCCAAACATTCTCAATTATATTAGAACACGTACAAAGATAGTTGTTCAATATACTTATTGTAGCATTTTTTAATATTCCCCACCCACCAATATCATTTTTTGTCTCAAGATCCTTGTTTTAATAACATTTGTGAAGTCCCTTTCTTTCAGATTTATACTGTATAATCAAAGTCTTTTTGTCACTTGTAGTACGTAGTTTATAAAGTCTTGTTGGGGAGTCTAAAGTATCATTCCTACAACTTTATTTCACACAATACCTTAGACTTCTTTTCCTTATTCTAGATATATGATGTAACTGAAAGAATTCAGTGTCGGGAAAGTTGAGTATAATACTTGATGACATTGCTAAACTAAAATTATACCTTAGAGCAACTGATCTGACACCTTTAGACCTGTTTCCTCATTA